CCAGCTCACATGTCAGGCTCCTTCACCTCTCTGTCATGATGGTTTTGTCACTTTTCAGGGCGCAACATGTCTTCTTACCTAGCTAATTTTGTCAATCTTTCCTCGTTGGGACTATGTGATTTTATTTCGTTTTATTGGAGCGTGGCTGCTTCAAAGCAGAAAAACTTAGCTGTTCTCCACTAACTCATAAACAGTCTGTTTCACCTTTTGCTAATTTCCTAGGATTTTATTTTTAAAATGTAATTCCATTTTATTTTGCAGGGAATGGTGCAAAGTATGACTTATTTTTCCCCACACTTCTGTCTAGTTATCCCAGAACTGCTTATAAAATAATCCTTCCTTCCCTTCTCATTTTGGAAGCCCATTACCATAATACCAAGATTTTTCTTCAAAATGAAGTCTATTTCTAGTTCTTCATTCTTTCCACTGAGGTATAGTTTTATTTTTACACCAATGTCATATTGTTTTGGGCTTCCCAGGTGGCTCAGTGAGTAAAGAATCCGCCCACAATGCAAGAGACACAGAAAATGCGTGTTTGATCCCTGGTCAGGAAAATCCCCTGGAGGAGGACATGGCAATCCACTCCAGTATTCTTGCCTGGAGAATCCCATGGACAGAGGAGCCTGGCAGGGTCATAAAGAGCTTGAAGAGACTGAGCGTGCACGCACCCTTGCGTATTGTTTTACTCACTACTTTGAAATCGGGATTAAACACTGCTCACAAAAAGAAAAACACAAGGTTATTGAGAAAGCAGATCACTGGGTGCCTGAGGGTGCGGCAGAAGGGTAAAGGGACCCAGGAGGGAGATGGGATTTGGGAGGATGATGAAACCATATTGTATCTTGGCTTAGGGCTGGTTGTACAATTCTCTGTATTGTCAAAACATTGAATTTTTCTCTGTGTAAATTATACTTTTAAAATGGCAGGGGGCAGGGAGACCACTACACAAAAACACACCAGATAAATCTTTAGGAAGAAAGAAAGGTTGGTCCTTGACAGAGAGCACAAACCTTGGGATTCTGTCCTGAAAACACAGTCTTCCTTGCCTCCCAGAGTGTGTCCAGGAAGGCCAGATTAGAAAAAGATCAACCCGCTCCTGATGGCTGATGGGCTAGGGGACAACAGCAGGCAGGACCACCATTGCCTGCTCGCTGCAGAAACTGGGAACATCAGGGCTCAGCCTATGGAGCTCAAGTTGCCTGCTCAGGCCCTGTTCTTCCTTCCACCCTTCAGGTGACTCCCAACCAGTCTCCTGTTTCTCCCTGTCCCTGCCCTTCCTTGCAAAGCTTTGGTTCAGGCCAGAAGCAGCTGTGTCTTTTGCAGGCCCCAGAACAAAATGAAAATGTGACGCCCCTTGTTCAAACATCATTAAGTTCCAGATAGTGTCAGTAGGGCACTGCACCAAGCCTAGGCCCTTCTGAGTGTAAGGCCTTGGTGACTGCACAGGTCACACACACAAAGTTGGTCCCAATTCTGGCCCTTTCCCTCTGCTACCTAAGGGATCCACCCAGAGTCACAGGACGTGAAGTTCTGTGCCAGCTTGCTGGGCTGCCCAGTATCTGTCTTGCCTCCTCTTATCCCTTTCCAGACAAGACCCTCTGCAGACCCGCCCCACACTTCCCCATGCCGAAATCCAGGCCCATCCTGGAATGCCCTCATCCCACCCTACTCCACAGGAAATATCCCCCCACCCCCCCCACTCACAGCAACTTCTCCCCCTCAGGGAAGCTTGCCTCTGTTAAAGAAAAAAACAAAAAAAAATCGCCATGACGTGTGTTGAAGAATGGTAAGGAAGACTTTATTCAGTGGAGGCTACTGGAATGGGATTTTATGTAAGGGTCAGAGAGTGGCCTCAATTCCAAATACAAGGAAAACTATATTTCATAGCCAAGGTGCAGGGTGGAGGTCAGTGGATGAAAAATTACTAAGAGGAAAAATCAGGAGGCAGGGGGAACTAGCTAGACGACCGCAGAGAATTCTCAGTGAAGGCAGGCCAGAGTGACCAGACATAATGTGGGAGATGGTGGAGGTGGAGGAACCAGATTGGAATATAGAGGCTGTTCAGACATAGAATATGGGAGACTCTGGCTAACCTAACTTAGCAGGATTCTTGCTAGAACTGGGCTGCACAAGGAAGCACACAGGAAGGCACAGTCAGAAAGCTTGGAAGTGCCTGCCCAAAGTTTGGTCAACCTTTATCCCCTCACCCCACCCTATCACCTGGAGTGATAAGTGAGCCAGCTCTCCTCTGAACTCCCATGGCACGCAAACTTCACCTCTCATAACATATTTCACTTTTTGTTTTTGCTGCATTATTTCATATTTCTTGTTTTTTCTACAAGAAAGAGCACGTTATCTTTTCTGAATCCAATATAGAGGGCTCAGCCCCCACCTACTAGAATGGTGGGTTATTGCCATCTGAATTGTCTCTCTTGACTCCAAAGCCCCCCCCGCCCCCGCCCCCCAGTGTTTTCTGGGCCGGAACCACAGCAGGCGCTGGGGATGAAAACAGATGTGGCCCTGCTCCAGCCATGCCCACAGCCCAGTGGGAAACAGAGGCGAACTGACCATTCCACCAGAACAGACAGAGCTGGTGGCGGGAAACAGGGGCTGCGGGCATAGGGAGAAAGGAATTGCCTGGATAGCGTGTGAGTTCAGCAAAGGCTTCCCTAAGGAGAGAAAATCTGAGCATCATGGTCAGGGAGTGGCGGGGAGTCTGCCTGGAGAACGAGGGCCCAGAGGGCTGTTGGGATTAGGAGGGGTACCACCATCAGTGATCCTGGAGGCAAGACTGTTGGAAGCCTCAAGTGACAGACTAAGGGACCCAAGGAGCCACTGGAGGACGCACACTATCGAGTTGAGAACAAGAGGGACCAAAGGCAGGGAGTCCAGTGCAGGTAGCTAGTCTCAGTTCTGGAAAGAATCAGCTCTTGGGCCTAGTCTGCTGGGAAAGGGGGTCAGAGGACAGCTGGGGTGCTGAGGGATCCACTGGGGGCAGGATGGAGGGGCTGCCCCAAGGGGTAGCCACTACAGTGGCACCTGTGATCAGCTGGCCCCGGAGCTGCCCAGCCGGCTTGGGGACAGGGAACTGGTTTTCCTGGCAGCGATGAGCTAACCAGATCTGGTTCCCTCTGCGCCGCCCCAGCTTCAGCTCTCTCGCGCCCTCCCCTACGTTTGGGCCTGGCCCTGGTTTCTGGCACAGATGCCAAGTTTTGGTACCGCCCACCCACTCCCTGCTGGCTGTGCTGGCCGGCCCAGCTCCCTAATTGCTGGGTGGGGAGCTCTTCTGCAGAGCTGGGACACCACCAAGTAGACCCCAGCCACCGTGGACCACATGGGTAGCCAGCCTGACCAGCTCCAGCCCATGGGGTGAGCCAGGCTTCAGGCTAGCACTGAGCTCTGAAGGGCCCTTTGGAGGAACCATTGACCCAGAAAGCTTGATTGGGTGGGGTGTGTACAATGGGTATCAAGGCCTGTGAAGAATAGGCCTGCCTAATCCAGGTGTCCCTGCTCTCCCTCCCCAGGCAGAGGGCCTGGCTTAGGGGTGAGCCCAGATAGCTCTCAGCAAAGCCCAGGGGTCTGACCTGGCCACAAGCTCTAGTCAAGCCTGGCCAGGACTAAAAGGGGCTGAGAAGGGTGGGAAAGAATGGAACAGAGGGAGGAGCCCCAACCCAGCCTCCAACCCAGGAGGCCCAAACACACCCCCTTAGACACACCACCACCCACAGCACATCTCTGCTGAACACACCTGCCACTCACACAGACATAAACACATTATCCCCACAGCAGACAGCACACACACCCCACTCTCCGCCCTAAAAAGGCGGGGCGCACTGGCTCACACTCCACAGCTGTGTCCATACCCCTGCACACCACTCCACCATCAGGGCCTACCTGAGGGGGCTGCCAGGTGTGGCCAGGGAAGGAGCAGAGCACAGCCACAGGGAGCAAACTGGGGGTGTCTGCAGAGATCTGAGGTGGCCCCTGCCCCACCAGGCAGCCTGGGGGGGGGGAGATGTCTGTGTATTGATTCCCCTGCAGCAGGAAGCATCTCATTCAACCCTGAGCCCCCAGACCCCAGACAGCCTAACGCAGCACCAGGCAGACAGAAAGTGCTCCATGTGTGGCAGAAGATACACTAATCCATCTGTAAGGACACTAAGCTTCACAGCAAGGGCTGGGGAGATGCCACTTGCATAGCCCGACTGGTTCTGTGCTCTAGGTAACCCACCAGGAGGGAGCAAGGGTCCAGAGAGGATGGGAGTGGTTTTAGGGGCCAAGGACCAGCAAGCCTTGGCTAAGAGCAAGGATCAGGCAATGCAGGGCAGGGTACAGGGGTGCTTCCTCCCAGGATAGAACTTTCCAGAAAACAAATCAGATCACACCTCACACTCCTGCTCAAGAATACCCCATGGCCCCATATGCCTATGGGGAAATGTCCGCATTCCCTGCTGCGGTTCTAGTCCTTTATTGAACTATCTCTGCCTCATTTCCTGCATCTTTCCTAGCCCTCATTCAATGGAGGGAGGGGTACACAAGCCAGAGAGAAAGGTAGGAGGCAAGTTCCGGGAGGGGCAGACTACTGAGGCATAAGGCTCTCCAGCAGAAGCTGTCTTAGGCTGGCCCCACATCCAGCCGGGCCTGGGACCTGGGAGCCCAGACTTTTTACCAAGAGGACATTTCATATTCTAGCAATACCTTGGTTGACTTGCCCCTTTGTTTTCTTGGGTTCCCTGGCATTGTTCCCTATTAAAAATCTCACTGATGCTAAAGAAAGGAATTTCAGCACATGGCAGCTAAGAAACTTTGTGGTGCCAGGGCAAGGATCCCTCCACTCCCCAACGTGCCTGTCCAGCAGCTGCACACAGAGGTGCAGGGTACACCCTCCCCGCCGATCATGGACATGGCGGAGCTACAGTCCAGGCCAACAGCCCCAACCCGGACCTTCCACAGTCCCCTGCACTCAGGCCGGCGACAGGCCTGACGTTATCACCTGGTAATTCCTCGTAGAAAATGTGATTTTATTCTGGGGAGGCCAAAGTTCCCATCCCAGCCTCCCCTCCTCACACTGGCCCTTTTTGCCTCACAGGGCTCTTCACTTGCAAACCTCCTTTCCTGGGCCACACCTACTCCAGGGCTGGGCTCTGCCTGGAGACTCCTCAGCCAGCCAGGGCGATCTTGCCCTGGCTCCTCCTGCTACTGGCACCCCATCCAGCCCACAGCCCCACTGGATCCCTCCTCTCGGCCAGCCTCTCCATCCCTGGCTGGTCTCAGCAGCTTCCATCCCAGACCAATGTAAGGAAGGAGCTGGCCGTCTCAGGGTGGGCTCGTCCAAGCCATCTTCTGACAGTGCCTCTGCTGTCAGCTTGCTCCGAGGGCCTCAGATCTTGGAGGACTCAAGCCGAGGGCTCCAGGGCTCCGGGGGCTCCCGCAGAGCCCGCAGCTCCTGTTCCAACACCTGGTTGCGGCGATACATGTCCATGTAGCCGCCCTGGATCTCCCGCTGGTAGCGCAGCACCCGCTCCTTTTCCTCCTGCCATGTCCGCCGCTCCTGCTCAAAGCGCAGCGCCTGCTCCTGGCCTCGGAGCCGCTCCTGCAGGAGCTCGGCCCGCAGCTGCTCAGCCCCATCTCTGGCCTCACCACCTCCCGCCTCCCCCAGCAGCCCCCTGCTCTTGCAGTCATCAGTCTCACAGCTGCCTGGGGCCTCCTCCCGCGGGGCCTGCTCCTGAAGGCTCCGCACGGCCTCCCGCAGCCGGGCCAGCTCTGCATCCTGGGCCTGGGCCTGTGCCCGGCTGCCCCGAAGTTGTGTCTTCAGGCTGAAGATCTCAGCTAGCTTCTGAGCCAGTTCCGCCTGGGCTTCCCGCAGCTGCTGCTTCAGGAGGCTGATCTCTGCTGTTTTCTGGCACACCTGAAGGGGGACAGGGACGGGCAAGAGCCAAGCAAAGCAGGTTGGCGGGGGAAGCGGTCAGAGGGCAGGCAGAGGATGGCACGACAGCAGTGGGGGCAGGAGTCTCTGAATGCCGGGTCGCTCACCTCCCAGCGGGCTTCCTCCTCTGCTCGGGCACTAGGATCGGCCTCTGGGAGGCTGCCTGGGGGCCGGGGCTCCGGGCCCAGGCCCCGCTGTGCTAGCAGCTCCTTGCGTAGGCGCCGCTGCTCCTGCTGGGCCATGAACAGCTGCAGCTGGAGGTTGCGCTCACTACGCTCGGCCTTCTGGGTCACCTCGTGCAGTCGCTCCAGGTAGAGGCGCTTCAGCTCAGACAGCCACAGCCGCTGGCGCTCTTCCAGCACCTGCCCAGGGGAAAGGGCACTTGCCATGGCCCAAGATTCACACACCGCCCTGCCCCCCCGGATGCCAAATGCCTGTACTCCCATGGCTGGCCCACTGCTCCAGCTGCTTCTGATATCCTCTGTCTCAACACCACAGGGTCCAGGGTGCAATGCTTTGGGCACACATGTGCCCCAACCCAGGATGTGTCCTCTGGAGATGAAGTGTCCCCAGCACATGGCCCTCCCAGGGAGTCTCCCTCCCTCACAGCTTCCTGCAAGGACCACCAATGATATGACATCCCCACCATGTGGGGCTTGGGGAGAGAAGCAAACTCATCTCTCTCTTCCTTACCCTCCTATACCCAGAGCCCCGCAGGAGAGCTGGCAGGTGACCCTCTGTCTGCCCTGTACACTAATGCCAGGGGTCAGAACAGGTGGCCAAGGCAACAGCTGCTCTCACCTGTGTGAAGGGACTGGCGCCATCCTCCTCACCCAGGCCCCTCTTGAGCTCCTCACAGGTGTCCGGCATCACAGCCACCATGTCCTCGGCGGCGGGGCAGGAGAATTCGTAGGGGGGTGGTGGTTCGGGCAGGCAGTTCAGCAGAGCCAGTGGCCCAACCTCCTTGGAACCCCGTGAGGCCCGGTCCAGGGAGCCCCCAAGATGGTTAATGTGGCCCAGGGAGGAGCTGAAGGGGCCGGGGCCAGTGCTGGGACTGTGGCCAAAGCTGCCCCCGCTGGAGGAATCAGACAGACTGGGCTCGGGCTCGGGGCCACCCTCATCCAGGCTGAGGGCGTGCAGCAGCTGGGCACGGGCCTGGGCCTGGCTGGCCCGGGGCCCGGGGCTCAGGGGCGGGTGGCAGGCCAACGTGTGCAGGCTGCCATTGCTGCGCCACAGCTTCTGGCCCTTGTGGGCCGCCAGGCTCTGCATGGACAGGAAGCCTTTCCCGGTGCCCGAGGCCGGCTTGAATACTGATGGGCGAATGCGACACTGCCAGAAAGAGAAGGCAGGGATGAGGCTCTGGGCTGACTGCTCTCTGATGCTCCCTCCCGAAGCCCCCGGGAATCCGCTTTGAGAACAAGGGGTACATGTCACCAGGCCAGCCCACAGCAAGACTTCCATGTCCTATCCCAGCCTCGGGGTCTTGAAGGAGGGCCCCCCTCCCTGCCCTGCCACAGTAGGGAGGGGAGGAGCCGAGGCACACCTTGTCAAAACGCCCCCGTTCAGGCAGCGAGGTCTTGCTGAAGTCACCAGCCCGAGAGTGCTCCCGGTAGTAGAAGGTGGCATAGTCGGCAGGCTCATTCCGAGGGGCCCGCTTGGTGGTCTTGCCATCCTTCTTGGGAAGGTGCAGGTAGCTGAGGAGCTCGCGCTGGCCCAAGCCTTTCCGGAGGAGCCCATCAGGCTGCCGGGAGCCCCGAGACCCTGCGAGTGCCGCCCGTAGCTCTTCCGGGGAAATGTCCTGCCGTTCCAACAGGCTGCCCACGCTGCCCATGGCAATGCCAGCAGGGCCTGGGGCTGTGGCCATGAAGTGTCACCAGGGCACAGGCGGCTGCTTCTGGGGGTTGGGAGGCTCCATCAGGGGCAGGCACGCACTTGCTGCCCAACTCTCCAGATGCCCTAAAACCAGGAGCTTGTTCTCTGTGTCAGCTCCCCCACCCCAGCCCACCCAGGAGTAGCAGATGTGGGCTCCAGAGAGAACCTGGAACAGGACCCCTAGAGAAAGTAGTAGAAGTCCCAAGGCTAACTGTCTAGCGCCCTAGTTCCAACGAGGGGCTGGGGTGTGACTGGGGTCACAGGGGTCCAGGACCTGAAGCAGTAGGATAGGGGCCCCTCCCAGGACTGAGCTGGCAGAATCCATCTCTGACTCTTAACTTTGTTCATTCTCCTGCCAGGCACCCAACATGGTGGGTGGGCGGAGGGCACAGGGAACCAAGACCAGTGGCCTCAGGAGCTCCAATCCTTCTTCTTCCTTGGGAGGGGGGAAAAAACCTCATTCAACCCCTCTTCCTGCAGAGGGTCAGAGTTTTCCCAAGGGAAGCACCTGGCACGGGTGGGGTCAGGGGCTCCAGCGGGACGGATACAAACAGGAAGGGCCCAGGGGAAGGAAGGATGGCAGGAACAATGGCCACAGTTTCCGGAACAGGTGCTCATGTTGGGGCAGTGGTACTGCAGAGGGTCAGAGTTTTCCCAAGGGAAGCACCTGGCATGGGTGGGGTCAGGGGCTCCAGTGGGACGGATACAAACAGGAAGGGCCCAGGGGAAGGAAGGATGGCAGGAACAATGGCCACAGTTTCCGGAACAGGTGCTCATGTTGGGGCAGTGGTAGGAGGCAGGGAGACGGGGCAGCCAGAGCCCCTGCCAGTCCCTCTAATATGCTGCCACTTCAAAGCCCAGTGCCAGGCATCAGGGCACCATTCCTGACCCAATGTGTGGAGCCAATCAGTGTGTGGCCCTGGCTTCCTCATCTGGACAGTGACTATGTCAACTCTTATCACTCATGGATGCTGGGAGGGCTGGCTAAGATTAGAGGATAAAATGCCCAGTCCATGGCCTGGCCCACAGCCAGGGTCAACACAGGCTAGCTGAAGCTGAGCTTAGCTGGTAGACACACTAACACCATCGGCGAGTGCCCGAGTGACGGGGTTATGGATTGCCTCCCACCTGTGGGGGACCACACTGTGGAAGGCAGGGCCTGTCCCCAGTGCCCCGCTGGATCCCCTGTGTCCATCCCAGCACTTGGCACACAGTAAGTGCTCAGAAAGGACCTGCCAAATGAACGAATGCCACCTTCTCTGCCTGTGTGCTACACTTAGACACAGTCATGTCCGACTCTTTGTGACCCCATGGACTGTAACCGCCAGGCTCCTTTGTCCAAGGGGATTCTCCAGGCAAGAATACTGGAGTGGGTTACCATGCCCTCCTCCAGGGAATCTTCCCAACCCAGGGATCGTAGCAGGGTCTCCCGCATTGCAGGTGGATTCTTTACCATCTGAGCCACCAGGGAAGCCCAAGAATACTGGAGTGGGTATCCTCTCCAAAGGATCTTCCCGACCCAGGGATAGAACCAGGCTCTCCTGCATTGCAGGTGGATTCTTCACCAGCTGAGCCACCAGAGAAGCCCCCTTCTCTGCCTCCTACCCGCTATTCCCATTCCTGAACAGACACCCAGCAGGCACGATGCAGCTACAAGTCCGACGTGCCCCGCCCCAACTGCCCCAATCCAATATCCTTCCGGGACACAGGCTGCCCCAAACAATGGTTAGGAGGTTCCATCTTCCTCAACCATTTCCAGGTTTTGTGTTTGTAGAAGACAAAGCTCTCAGCAAGGAGGGAGGGAGAAGGGTAGAAGGCACGGCTCTGCTCCTACACCCTGAGATCCTCAACCTTACCTTGGGCAAAAGAAACCTTCCCAAGCTTCCCTTTCCAGTCCCCAGACAGCTCAACCCCTCTGGGGGTGCCACAAGCCACACAGGTTAGGGGAGTCATCTAGATAAGGGATGACAGGTGCTGGGCACCTACAGTGATGCGGCCCTACGTAGGGGTCTCACAGAGTCCTGGCACATGGTTAACTGTCTGTGTTTTTTAGGTAAGGGCAATGGGGCTCCAAAAGATGAAGTGGCCTGCCCAAGGTCACAGAGCTGGTCAGAGTGAGGTGCTGGGCTGTGATTACAGTACAATGACTCGAAATGTCTAGTAGGAACCGACAATGTCACCCACAACCCAAGAGTTGGAATCAAAGCATCTTGCCTCCCACTCTGACACCCCTTCCCCATGACAAGCCCACCGAGCAAAAGACAAGCCCACTGAACTCCTGTGACTGCTTCCTGGGGAGGTAGACAGCAGAGAATCTGGTCTCCAGTCCACCCTTACATTATCTCTCCATGGGACACCTCCCTTGACCATGCTTCAGTTTCCCCCAAATGGGAAAGACTCTACTTTCTCTGCCTTCCTGTAGGGTTGCCGTTGACAGCCAGCACAGGGACAGGGAGGTGAAAGGGCTCCTGAGCTGCAAGCCTGGTGAGAGCCTGGGGGCAGGGATGGTGGCAGGGGGAGCCAAACACGCCCATTCATCTCAAACACACACTGCTTCACGTTCCCCTGGCCACAGCCTCATTTCCTGTCTCAGGGAGCAATAATCAACTCCCCATAACCCCCACAGAGGGTCTCAGATCCAGGGGAGAAGCAGTCATGGGCCGAAACACGCACACCACGTACATACTGCAGTCCGGTCGGTGCCACCAGCGGCCCAGACGCTCCTCCGTGAGAGGACACAGCGAGGCTCACAAACACTCAAGGTCATCCATGCAGCACTGAGCACCTTCCACACACAAATACCCAGCTGTCCTTCCTAGCCCCGAGGCTGCTAGATGTAGGCGTGTGTGTGTGTGTGTGTGTGTGTGTGTGTGTGTGTGGCAAGGAGGGCATGGGATCGCTTTTCTTCACACTTGAGTTGAGCAATTTGAAATAACTCCAGAGCGACACAGAGGGGCACCAACAGCGCTTCCCTTTGTCTTTACCTAAGGCCCCCACCCTCCCCCCTCCTCTCTCCACCCCTCCTAGATAACTTCTCAGGCTGTATTATTAGCTTCTCCCCCTTGGGCCAAGGCCCCTGGCTTTCAGGAGGCTCTCCCCTGCCCAGGTCTCAATCTGGTGACAGTCCTTTTTCCTAAGATTCCATCCACCTCCCCTGCCTTCCCCACATCCCCCAATACACACATTCCTTCCCGTTGCTTGGAAGCCCAGGGACTGGCCCAGGGCAGCTGTGCGGGAGAGGATGTGGTGGGGGAGGAGAGAGGGAGAGACAGCAAGTGCCTTGCAGCCCCAATGGGGAAAACAGGGCCTCCTCCCCCAAGTGCCTGGGCTTCTCTACCCAGAACTCATGACGTGCCTGGGGCCCAGAACTCTGCACAGAGCAGAACCTCACCGCCACCACCCCACTGCTCTGCCAGCAAGCTTTCAGCTGGTCATGTAGGCCCTATTCTGCACAGGTCCTGGTTGGTCCCAACAGGGTCCTTTTACTCCTGCTTCCACCTTCCCCTCCACCCACTCCAAGATCAGACAGCCTGGACACTGGGAGCATCTCTCTGGACCAACTCTTGGTGGAGACCGGAGAATGGGGCTGGAATACGGCCCTGGCCATGAAGCAGAAAAAGACAGGACGCTCAGGGAGGCATCCTGGTGTCCCTTAGTGGGTGCCTCGTTGGGTCAGCCTGATGCTGGGCCTGGCACACGCTCACAACACACATGGGAGGGGAAGAGTGTCATCCCCCACTTCCGAGGAGAAAACTGAGGCCCAGGAGGTAAAATAAGGTGCCTAAAGTCACGTTCAGCTGCACAGGAAAAAGTCCATAGGCTCTCTACATTTAGAAGCCTGCCCTGACCCCACTGCGCCATCTCCTCTGGAGTGCACCCAAAGCACTTGGGTAGGTAGCTCCCAGTCCGACCTCAACTGCCTTTAGCCCCTCGTGAGCCCTGGCCCCAGGGAGGGTCCCACCACCTGCTGGAGGATCAGCTTTGCTGAGGGGAGTGACTGCAGCTGCCCCTGAGGAATGGGACTGGAATGTCCCAGCTCCAAACGAGGGGGCAGTGGGTAAGAGGGGCCCAGGGAGGAGACGGGAGAGGCTGGCATTCCATAGCCCCATTTCAACTCATGAAGAGGCAGAGTCCTGCTGGAGTGATTCTTAGTATCACTAAGTCACTTGCGCCCTACAGTTTTTATCAGCCCTTTCATCATCTGATCTCCGAGACAGCTTCGTGGAGGCAGGCAAGACAGTAGTTACCCTTACCCCATCCTTCAGCTAGGTAAACTGAGGTCCAAAAAGAAGTGAGCTGCCCATGATTCCACATGACCAGCAATCCCAACTCCCCAGGCAAGGCCCTCTCTTCTGCCCCAGGCTGTCCCAGCCAGGAGTTACCAGCTGCCCTCCCTGGGTTCACACACTGCTGTGGATTATGTCTGCTCAGCTCCGTACACCTGCTTCTCCCAAGGGTACCTGCAACCAGGTTGGTTTGGATCCCAGTCCCCTCAGCCTGGAATACCCACTGCCTGCCCCTGGGTCAGGTAGAAATAGTGGAAACACCGCTGCATGGGCACTGTGAGCCCTGGAAGCTGCTAGTTCCATAGTCGCTGGCGTTAGCAGACTGGCCGCTCTCTTTCAGTCTGGCACATACACACCCACACACAGCCAGTCGGCAGGAGAGGAGCCCTGCCCAGGAGGGCTCTGGGAGGAGGCAGATCACCGGTTCCAGGACGGCCTCCTGCCTCTCTCCTTCCCGGGGCCGGCCAGGGAGAGAGCACCACGGCCGCGGGACAGGCTAAGCCCCTGGTGCAAGCCAGGAGACACCCGGTCTGCTCGTGGAGGCGGGAGGGAGGGGATTGCCGCGTCGGAGATGACAGGTCCCGGTCCTTTTTTCCGGACGCAGTCACGGCCCCGATTTCCGCCCGGCTCCAGACGGGCCCTCACTTTGGCCGAAGGTTGTGGCCAGACTGGGATGGTGCTCAGGATCCGGGAGCGTCCGCTCTTCACGGGACCCCTGACAGCAGGCTGGCAGCTGCCGCTCATACAGGGCTCATAGAGTGGAGGAAGGGGTATCCCGGAGGGGGCAGGAGAAGACAGGAAGCCGTCTCTTGGGGAAGGTGGAGGTTGGCATCTCCATGGAATTTCCTCGCGGAAGGATGTGGCAGAGGCGAGGGCTTCCCCAGAAATGGGGGAGGTCCCCAAGCTACCTGAGGTTTGGGAGGGGATGTCTCTCCCAGGCTTCTCTCTAAGACTTACCCCGAACGGATGGGCTGTGGGCGCGGAAGTCGAGGTCAGACTCCCGCGCCAAGGGCACCTGCCCCACCCCAGTGGTGGTTCAGGGGTCCCAGGGACTCCTCCAAGGAAAGCGCGTTTTGCATGGGTTACGGAGAGCGTAACCAGTCGCCTGCCCTTTCAGCACAGCTTCCCTGCCCGCGGACGGTCCCCGATCCCGCACCTCGGTGTTTCGGTGTCTGGAAGTAAGGGGTATCTGGGCGCACACATCACCTTGCCACCCCTGCCCACTTCTCAGACGGGAACCTCGCCCGCGTAGGGCTGCGGGCTTGGCCAAGGTCGCCGGGAAAGCTAGACCTCGGCGGTGGCCAGCCCCACCCCCCGAGGCCAGCCCCGGG